ACATACAAACAAAACAGATCTTATCGAAATTTTATTATTATAATATTAGTTGAAGTATGATCAAATAGCATAGAAAAATAGAGCATTCTTTCCTGTATCACTACATCAAAAACGAAAATTTCCTTGAGCTTACTATAAGGAAATAAGATAGTGACGACACTACTTTTGAATTGCCCTAAGTATATCGTTGAAAACCTTTTGTAACTAGTCCTATCCAAAAAATATAAATAACTTTTAAAGCACACGTGCAGGTCTATCTACAACTATGTTTCTCTATTCTTATCTTTGCCTGTTATGTATAAGATTTTTTATTATCAGCTTACATATCTATTTTTAGTTTCTGTATTTTCACTTAAAACAAATATTTTTGTCTGCTTGAATTTGTTTGAGTGAGAATTAAAGGGTAAAAAGTACATTCCAATATGGCTACAAATTTCTGAAATAAAAGAAATGTTTTCGTCTTGGGTTTAATGGTTCTCATAACCAGAATGACACATATTCTGGAATAGCTACATTTTTCTATTAGTACTTATTATCATATTATGCGTATTCTTTTTCTCAAGATCAATATTCAATTGTCTAAACCAATTTTAATAAATGATATATTATGTCTTCTAGTCTTTTACAGATAAATCTAGAAGAAGTGGCATGATTCAGATTGTAGTACTTGAACAACTGAGTCGAACAAAACTCATTTCATTTGTTTCCGTATTATTAATTGTTCAAGTTGTATATTTTCTACTCGGAGGTCTGATAGGTTCGTAAGTTTTTTCGAATTTTGATTGTCAGATAATTCGGATGTTAATTCTTTAGCTTCAAAACCGAGTCACGCTGACAATCGTCCTTTTTCTGTATGTCGTTCACTTGAAAACAAGAAAATTGAATGGATTTATAATTCACCGAAAATGGAGAAAAATTGTGAATCTACCAAACTGGAATTTGGTAGTGTAAGTCTAGAATTATAATGACAAAACAACACAACATAGCGTATATTGTTGCTACTGCTTTTTCTTCTAGGAATCGAGAACATGGAATGATTTTGTATTTGTCATGCAACTTCCACGTGTCTCACGTTGGTTTCAAACTTTAAATTCATTCTTAGTACCCACGATTGAATTCGATCCACGTATTAATTTTAGTAAGTAGCGATTTTACAGATAGGTTGACCTCTAAAGTGTGTCTAATCTCTTTCCATCATTCTCTATTTCTATACATGAAGCAAGATTCTTTAGCCTTTTTGATTCGTATCCTCATTGTACTAGAAATGGCTTTGATTTACTGTCACATTTATCCTTGAAGTTTTCTGGCTAATAGTAATTTAAAACTTTGTGTGAATTATCTTCAGGTTTAACTGCTTCATTAACATATGATGTCCGTTTGGCATACAGAACTGATGAAAATGATTACAACGATAAACCATCAAAATGGAAACTGCATGCAATGTCCAGAGAGACTCGTCGTTTGGATTGCAAACCGATTTATCATGGACTGCATGTAAGTTTAATAAAATGAAAAACAACTCTGTAATATCGTTTTTCTTTTTATTGTAGAGTGATCCTGTGTACACTTGCGAATCTTTAGCATTTCTTGAACTTACTGCTCTAAAACATCCCTATTATTTGATAAATCTGCAAATTGTGCACGACAAAGATCATTCACAAAATATTGGAAAATTAACATCATTGGAGTTTGTTGTGAGTCTGTATTATTCAATGAATTATGGATGACTGAGCAACAGCTTATTTTTTAATTTTCAGGCAATTTATCAAACAATTGGATTTACTAAACTTTGGTTTTCACTTAAAACTTGCACATTTCCAATAGTGTTGGCAGCCGTCATTTGGCACTATTATCAAATGAAACGGTTAAAGAGGTCTTACACAAACTTAGACAGGTAGTGCATTTATTTTCATAATCTGTTGGAAAAATGAGAACATAGTCATTCGACTTGGTAAAAGTTTATCCTAATGTAATCTCAAGCGAAAGAAGGATATTTCAGAACTTCTATGAAAATGTTGTATATTTGTATACTTTTTTAGATTTTTATTCCTATTAGGTTTGTCTACATGTCTTTTAAATGGTAAGCTTATATTTGATGTTGTATTTTCAGCAACATTTATTGAATGTTTTCTAATTAAAAATTCTAGCTCCACTGGAATGGTGTACGCTAGTATTTCCATTAAATTGGTTTCAAATATTTGCCGAAATTAGACAAGGCCTGTTTCTCTGTGTCCTATTAACCTTTTGGCTAGTTTTTGCTGGTGAACATGTGATTGTAAGTAGACGAAAAGATTTACTTTATCTCAAATAAACACGAACTAAAAATAGAAGAAAGATATTATGATGAAAGTTGCTTCTTTTTAGTCTTAGAAATTATATTTTGTATTTAGGATAGAAGCGGTTGCAGCTACCTTGCATCTTACATAAAATATGTTGGCTTACTTTGGTTTTCATCATTTGTTTTACTACTTTTTGAATTATGTCAACGGTAAGATATTTATAGTCTAACTATTGTTAATTAATCATACTTTCTACTTAGTTTAGAGGCTTTCAGTTATCAAATCCATTTCATTCAATATGGTCAAGTAAAGCTGGAAAAAATGCTGCGGTATATATACAATATTATAGATATAACGGTCCTAATACTTTCTCTTTTCTATTGTAGATGACATTTTTGATCTTGGCCGCCTTATCTGGCATTGTTTATATAATATGTTTAACAACATTATTTACTCGTGTTTTTTGGAATATTCGTTCGAAACATTCAGAACTGCATGCAATGAGTAGAGTCAGACGACTTCTTTATCAAGTAAATATAACTTTACCATATTTTTCTCAGCTGAAAATCAACGTGATGAATTTTTTTCTATTAGGGAACTTTATTTCGTTTTGGTTCCTTATTAATTGCAACAGTTGTTTGCGCTATTTTAACAGTTGTCTGGTTTTGTCTAAGTCAATTTTATGAAACACATTGGGTATGGGAATATGAAAATAAACCACCAAAGATTCATTACTCTGGCGCATTCATTACAGGTACGTTTTAAATATATTATTAATGTTAGAATGAATAGCGTGATACTTTATGATTTATAGGTGTCTATGGAATGTGGAACTTGTATGTGTTCGCTGTACTTCTATTATTTTCTCCATCGTCCACAAATATGGTAGAAGATTTGGTCGAACTGAGTACGTGACATATGATCTTTCATTTTGAAATAACATTTTTTTATTTTATTTCAAATTTATTACATCTTGAGTAGGCGATTGAATCAATCGAAAAAGACTACTGAATAATTTTTTTTCTTGTGAAAAGATGCTCTTGATGTTTGTTTACTCTGTGTTTAGATCCAACTGGCAATGTTACTGAATTATGTGACGCAACTAATCCATATACGTCTTATCAGATCATTCGTAAAACGGCTATAGAATGAATTATATTTTTCATTCTTCTTCTCTTTTTTTATGTGCAATGAATCGACTTTATCTCACTATGGATCTCATCTATATGTTTTTCTTTATTTCACTATTTGATTTTTGATACCTTGATTTGTAAATAAGAACTTTTTTGTTCATTAACTTTTTGAATGAATTTTTTTTCTACTTGTTTTTGTACCATATCGTTCTTTTTACACCGATTAGTATAGTTTTCTTTTTTGAATCAGATAAAATTTGTTTTATTGAATTTATTGGAAAAGCTACATGAACCAACTTTATCATTTATTTTTAGCGTCAATTTTTCGTGTAAATGTAGATAGTATGGCTTGAGATATAATCTTTTAAGCTTTTTTCTTTGTAAACGTTGCACTTTATACCAAAACATCTGTTTCATATCGAGTTTTATTCAAGATACGAGTTCTAAAAAAGGGTATAATTTCGTGCTGAATCATAGGTTTTATTGACGTTATAACTCTTTATAATTTTATTAAAGAGTTCAGATTTGTATTTTATATAATATTCAAAAGTGAAGTTACATATAAGAACAATAGCAGCAACATGTCGTTGATCTGAAGATGTCTACCTTCATAGTTTAGCTAATACTTGTTTCTAGCTTATGGTACTTCATTTTTGCTCAGCATTGGTTTGACTTTTCTCCTTTAAGTTTGTTCACTTAATTTATTCTAATTGTATACATCTTTTCGTTTAGTTTTAGATGAATAATTCAACAGATGATAATATTCCAGCGATTAACAAAGAATTATATCCGGCTTTAGTTCAATGCTTTGTTATTATCACTTTTGGTTATATTGCCGGTCAATTGAGTATATTAACACAATCTCATTCAACTGGTTTATCACGTTATATTAGTAATTTTGCTTTACCGGCATTAATATTTAAAAATTTAGTTACAATTCATTTTGGTTCGGTTTCATGGCCATTTTTAGCATCTATATTCATCGGGAAATCTATCATATTTTTTCTAACAGGTAATATGTTGATTAAACGCGTAAAAAAAAAATGCGTACAAATAAAAAATTTTTAATTCTAGCTCTAATAACATCTTTTATTCAACGTCCAATAAATTATGCTAATATTGGTTTATATTCAATAATCACATCTCAATCGAATGATTTTGCGTTAGGATATCCCATTGTCGAAGCGGTTTATCAACATTCACATCCAGATTATTTACGTTATATTTATTTGATAGCGCCCATTTCGCTAGTTATATTAAATCCTCTAGGATTCTTACTTATAGAGACTCAATCTAGACTTAACGATAAACGTTTAGGCTACGGACATGTTACAGGTGAATGTTTTTTTTGTTTTTTTTTTATCTTCAGAAAAACGTCAATAATAATAATTTTACATATAAATTTCTTAGATTCGTCTAGTCGTCTAAGATTGATATCAAAAATAATTTGTAATCTTCTCAAGAATCCAATGGTAGTTGCGACAATTTTGGGTTGTATATTTAATCCAATATTCAAACAGACACTACCATATATGCTTTTACGTATTATTACACCTCTAGCTGATTCATTTGGTGCCACTGCTCTATTCTATCTTGGCCTACAATTAGTTGGAAAAATTCGTAAACTTCATTCGTATGTTATTTTTACTGTAATGATATTAAGCATGATTAAATCTCTTATTTTACCATTATTAATTCGTCAAATTGTCTTTATGTTAAAACCAAAAGATGATACAAATTCAACATTAGAATATTCAAATTATGGTTTTTTATATGGAACATTTCCCGTTGCACCCACAGTGATCTTTTATGTTCCTGAACAAAATATTTTTCTTCAATCTGTTGCATCAACATGTTTAGTTGTCTCAACTCTTTTGGCTGCTCCTATTATGGTACGTATAATCTTTAATGTTTACTTTGTTATTTATATTATTTCTTTTATCAATATTAGTTAATATCGGCAAAAATGATTGCATTAAAAACAATTGATAATAAAACATCAGCATCCTATGAAAATACATTGTGTCAAGCGAGTTTTGACGTTTCAATTATTAGTCTTCTATGTACAATTATTGTTTTTATTGGATTTATTTTGAGACGACGATGGAAAAAAAATTCTTTAATTCATCGTTATACATTAATCCTTTTAATATTACAATTAATGTTAGCTTTATGGAATATACCATCTCAATATATGAAAATACATACGATTGCATGGCAAAATATTCTACATGGAATTGGAAGTGTCTTTCTTGCATTAGCAACAAGAACATGGTCAGCATCCATTGCATTCATTCTCATGACTAGAGTATGTTACGGTGTTCAAAAAACACGACAATTATTTTGGTTATATCATTTATTTGGATGGAGTTTACCAATTATTTCAATTATTCTTGTTAGTGTAAAATCAGTACAGAAGCAAACATCACTGGTAATTGAAAAATTTGGAAAAATTCAAGTCATATTATCAATTATTGTTCTTCTCATATCAATATTATTGAGTATATACTGTCTCGTTCGTCTGGCAAGAAGAACATATCGCTTGAAACATGATGAAAATCATCGAAGATCAAGTCACAGTGATACAACATTAACCAATGAATCAAGACCATTAATTGATACTGACGATAACTCATCAAGACAAAATGATGAATTAAACAAAGCAGCAACATTCTCTTCGTCGATAATAGTAAATTCAGCAGGTAAGAAGTTATTGTAGTTGTTGTTTTTTTATATAGTAAGATAAAGTGAAAATTTTTTTGTTATTTATAATCAGACAGATATCTTTATTTTTTGTTTTATTCACATGTATTCTTCACATTCTTCTTTTATTTATTTCCAGATGAAGTGGATCCACAAATTCTTCGGTAAAATCATCTTGATGAAGAAAGAATAGCAATTTCATATTCTTTCTTTTATTCAGACATGGTATATTGATATCTTTGTTGACACTAAATGGAGTCATAGTAAGTATCTAGTCGTCATCTAGGTGGGCATATGTTTTCTATGTTTTTATGTAATCAATTCTTTAAATGGATAAACAAAGCGTTTGCAAGCTGATGCCTCTATTTCGTAGCAGATGAAATTATCTGAAAAATGAAAGAAATTATTATTATTAATCGTTTACTGTTTATATTTAGTGTTTATCGATATTAATATGGTCATTCTTCGATCATAGTCACACTGGAATTTATTATGAATTGCAGTTTGTTGATGCTGTATTACTCTATGGTCAAGTATGTTTAATATAAATCAATTCATTTTTTCGATAATTTTTATATTATTTTTTGTCTCATTTTAGGGATTTATTACGTTTCTTGTCTTTGCACTTGATGTCGATGTCTTGTTGCCTATTGCGAGAAGGTACATAGATGTCTTTGCATGAATATTTAGTGATATCAAAATTTCATATTTGATTCTCTAAACACTATGGTCGTGGCTAACTTTCCGCCACTAGAAATTCTGCCCAAATTTTAGTAATCCCACCTTTATCTAAAATATGAAATTTTGTTTCTGTTCTAAATCATTTTTGATGCAGAAAAATAGCATTATGATTTCACAAAATTAGAAAAAGTTTATTCATGTGTTAATGGTCTACATTATTCATTTGAGTTAAAGCATTTCTGAAGTAGCGCGGTAATGTGCATCGGTGTCGGTCTCTGGTTAAAATTGCAAAGAAATATTAAAAAATGGATGAAAAAAAGGTGTGTTATAAGTATCAGTCTTTTTAGCGAATATATATGCGCAGTATTGCGACATCATCTTTTTGTCGCATCAAATATAAAGTCTACAAAAGCTCTTATGTTTTGTATTAAAAGATACATACGCGTTGTAGTCTTCTAACTTCTTTTGGTACAATGACTTTCCATACTGCTTACTCAAGGGACATAAAATAATAAACTTTTTCTAATTTTGTGAGATCATAAAAATGTTATTTTTCTACGTTAAAAATGATTTAGAACAGAAACAAAATTTCATATTTTGAGTGAAAGTGGAATTACTAAAATTTGGGTAGAATTTCTAGCGGCCGATAATTACTAAGTGGCAGAGTCGGAACCGGAAATTACCCACGACTAAATACTACAAACACATCATTGTTCAATCATACATTTCCGTTGGATTAATGAGAGTAGAGCTATTGCATAATATGTCATATTTTTTATTTTTTCAACATCTTGTGCAGCTTTTGATATAACCTTTTTTTTTAGTCTTGGCACCGGGTTAAGCTATGTTGGATATCGAGGATTACAAGAATTTTTGAATGCTAATAAACAAACAAAAAATAGACGACATGAAACAATGGATGATGATACTTTAACTAATTTTGAGCAAAATATCAAACCAAATTTTCTTGATTCTATAAATGAACCAGACAGGTAAATATAGAAGTAGAAATCTAATACAGATATAACTTTGTTCTGATATTTAGTTTTCGAATGCAACCATGTAAGTTGGTCCAATTTGTGTGCATCTTTCCTTGTCTTGTATAGTTCAGCTTCCGTATACTACACTTATCCCAAATATCTTAAGCTTAATCTTCTTTTTGTATTATATTTTTTGTATTTTGTGTGTTTGCTTCTGTATGTTGATATCCTGAAACGTTAATAACCTCTTAACATAAGAAAGGAGAGTTTGAGCTGAAAATAGACATTTAGAACTTTCAGAGTAAACAAAAAGAAATCCCTATGTTGTCTGTTAGATATAGTGATGTGTAGTAATTATTTAAAACTTTTGTTAACTACTAACTTCTACTTTTTCGATAGTCATTTATATTACATCTGTTTTGTTTCTATTTAGTTTAATCTCAACCAATATCAATAAACATGATCGATTGTTTAACGGAAGGACATTTATTGATTGGTTATTGAATAGTAAAACATTCAACAATCGTCAATTGGCTCTGGTATATTGTCAACAACTTTGTATTAATAAACATATCCTTTGTATTAGTCGAGAGGAGAATGATGGAAACGAGTTTTATGATTCTAACGCTTATCTCTACATTTTTACACTCTGAGAATTTCAAGTCAGATAGTTGCAATCAAAAAACAAAAATGAAATGTCAAAAATCTCAGTTGAGTTTATATATGAGAAGATGAGTATTTGTAGTATATGCCATTATCCACTAACACTCAAAAAAGCCAATGAACTTGTTACTAGGGGTGCCAGTTTCCCTTTATCGGTACTGTAACGGGTAACGGAAAATCCGTTACTCGTGTTACTTCTGAAAAAGTAACGGATGAATTATTTTGTTTTGGTTGAAACAGTCCGTTAATTCATTTGTTAGTCCGTTGAAACTCATAGAAACCATCACTCCTACTTGTGAATGAAATAAGTATATAGAAAAATAGTAAGATATATTGCAGATCTGTGAGTGCTATTGCCTTATTTTGGGTGCTAGTGGCTCATAGTGTATTTTACAATATCTGAAATGAATGAACCCGTCAAATGTCTTTTTTTTTTGGTACTTTTCTGTCATTTTTATACCGGTTTGAGCTTACTAAACAGTGACTTTATTCTCCTATTCTATTATTACAGTATTATTTTTTAATCTCAAATAATGATATTTAAGATCTTTCTCAAACTATGCGTTTTGGAAAGCTCGGACAAAGTTTGTTAATAGTTTTGATTTTAATAAACGTTTAAATTGTGCATGCATGTTTTTGCATCCAAGCAGGATAATAAAAAATAAAATGAAATGGATCGGCATTCGTAGGTGTATTTGGAAAATATGTATTCGAATCTTGTATCATATTAACGATAAGTTACAAAAAGAAAACTTCTAGCAATTAGTTTAACCTAGAATAGGAAAGAAGAGCGGATATAAAATAAACATGTGTCCAGCAAAATGGGAAAAGGTATCGACTAATAATTTAACGAGAAGAATCAATCTTGAAGGATAGTCAGTTTGCTTTGTTTATGATTACGATTTTTCTTTTTCAACTAGATAGTCATTTTTACGAAATATCAAAAAATTGTTATATAAAAGTTTTGCAATGTGATCAAGCTTTGCTAAGAAATCAATCGAAAGGCCACTTATTTTTAAATTAAGAACTATCTCAACATTTTGTCAAATTTAGACAAAAAATGATGATTCAAAGCGTTTATAAAATGAAAAAAGGTGGCTAAATCAATATTATCTTAGAAAACTTTCTTTAACACATTGAGTCAATATTTCAAGAAATAGATTAACATTATTATCAGTTAAGCATAGAATCACAACAATGGGAGAGTGCAAGGCTAATTATAATTTATTAATATTCGATATGGTTAATAAGATAATTTTATTGAGAACAATAATTTTAATACTAAGTTAAATGGTGCGTTATTCTTCGTTAATGTAAAATACAAAAGATATTGTTGTTTCACATAGTCGTATAAATTAATCATTGAACTATGTGTTAAATCATTAGCAGTAAGAATATTGCATTCATTGCTCTTAAAAGAGATAACGACCAATTATTTCAAACCTAAAAGAATCTTAAAGTAACTTACAATTTAACTGCATCTTTTTCCGTAAAACGTTTTTGTTTTACAATTACGAAAAGCAAACAGCTATAAGTGTAGGTGCAATTGTAAGAGAATTATTGCATCAGCATTCATCAGATACTCTCATGATTACCACTCCATTTTGAGATTGTTCATTCGACAATGTATAACTTGTTCATGAAGAAGAGAAATACGAACGATGATAATAAATGTATATTTGTTTGAAAAAAACCAGTTCCACTTCGACAACAGAGTTGTCTAATAGTCAATCTTTTTTTGATTAGATGGGAGGAGGAGTTCCATCTTTCTATTTGAACACAATTTCAACTCCATCGAAAATTATTAATAGTAAACTTTCTGTCATCGCTCAAAACATTTCCATCTCCTAGGATTGCTGAGATCAAAAATACTACTAATATTTATTACAATAATCGCATTGGTCTAATTGATCCGAAAAGATATCTTTGTCATCACTTTGAACTATATTTTAAGCAGAAAAAACATTTACAGTAAACAACAGAAAAGAAACAAAACGATTATTATTGCTTTTTTTGTAAAATATATTTAGTTTTTAGATAATAAATACCCAGTGCAATAAAAAGAGGACAAAACACACTTAAATTGCTAACGGACGGTTCCGTTATGAAAATATGAAGAAAATTACTACTGCGCCTGCTGCTACAAATAAAAACAAAAAAAAGTCACTGTTAGGAGAAGGAGAAAAACAACTCATTAAAATAAATGAGAACAAAATCGCATAATTTGCTAAAGATCAATATAAAACTGACTAGGTTCCATTTGTTGTCTTTTTTAACAAAACAACTGAAAAATATGTACATCTTGAAAGTGAAATTGCAAAAGAAAACAAAAAATTGCTGAAGAATAAAAAAATTATTCTTCATCCGTCAATGATTTAACTAAATAAACAAACAAAGTAGGAAGTACAAAAAAATGAATTAACCTTATGGCAAAACTAAACTGATGATACTGCGAATGAAACGATATTTTAGGATGTTCCTGACTTTTAGTTTTCTTTTTAAGTTTTTTTTGTGAAATAAAATATAATTCTGAAGTTTTATAAGGATTGAAACACAGATTGAACTGTGTAACTGAATCTGACCTTGCAAACAAGTTTCAGGTAATTTTTACTCTAGCACTGATTTGCACACCGTTTATTCAATTATAAACGAGTTTTATATTACTATAAAACATATTTTGGTTAATTTGTTGGTGGTAGGGAATACCACATTCTGCGTTTAAGTATTTACTCTGAATCTGAAAATAATTTACGACTAATTTTTAAAAAACCTTTCTCTCCTCTCCACTTTAGCTATTCGTAGCACCGCAACTCTGCCTGATAGTTAGAATAAGAAAAACATTTGGTAAGTTTTCTCACATTTCAGACACGAGAAAGTTGAATTTGCACGTTTTATAACAAATGGTGCGTGTAGTCCTTTGTTCCGTTTTAAACGCAATTTCGTTGAACACATTTTCCTCGTGAGTCGAGAACGCCATACAATCGAATACCCTTTCATTTCAGATACTCCTTATTCATATTTAAAATGGGATCGATTCATCTGCTTACTGTACATTCCCTTGAGTTTTAGTGACTAAAAGTAGTGGAATCACTGTTTTATGTAGTCGACATAAAAGAAGAGAAAATGAATGTAAGACATCAACTGCTAGAACAAAATGAGATGAGAGAACACAATTTCAGTTTGTTGGTAACTGTGGTTTGGAACTGTTTCGCACTATTGAATTTCGTGTTAGTCTTGGGAAATTGAGTGAACAAGGAGAAAATGATGATGATGATGATGGATGAAGATACTCGTTATAAGAGACCTCCGATTGTAAATTACAAACAGAATAACTTTTAAAACCAAATATAGATGGTTGTTTAACTTTTGATGTTAAAGCTAAAATAAAAAACAGTACATGATTTTCAAGCGCATTGTTAGACAACCTTTCTCACCGTTTGTAGTTCCACAATTGAGAGGCACTTCGATTTCGCATTCTAAAGAAAGAATAAATAAAAAAAGGGTATATTAGTATACTATATTGATAGTCAAGTCATTTGTACCTTCAATATGAGCTATAGGAGCGATATTAATCTCGGCTACTGTTGTTGTTTTTTTGTCTCTTTGTTCATCGACCGAAACAACTTCTAAACCGAAACAAGAACTAATCAATTACTGAGAAAATTTCAGATAAGTAATTCAAGCTCACCAGCTGTGTCAGTAATTCTGATAGGGTTCGTTAGGTTACAAGCAGTCGTATTTGTTGTTTGAGCGCCTATTGTTGGCTCTCGTGGAATCAGCTGTGGAAACATTTCATTGAATGCTTTATCTGAAAGAAGTTCAGCACTAATTTGATGAGAAATTATAATGTTATAAACTTACAACTTATCAAAACAGGATCCTTAAACGTCTTTTGACGATGACATGCTCGTCGTTTTAGCTATTAGATAAAAAACAGAAAAATGTGAAAGAAAACTTGTACATTTTTTCTTACTTTTAATTGCCTGACAAGTAGGAAACCACCATAAACGGGCAATGCTACAACGGCTACAGAAGCAAATACACATGCTGCTGCAATTGCGAAACAGACAATGAGTGGTGCAGCGATTATTTTTCCACCTAAAAAGAAGACATCACATTCTAATAATGGAAAAAAAAGAACACAAAAAGATAACGTACCAAGTATGGAACCACGTATCAGACGACGTTTAAAGGGTTTATCTGGATAAAATCGATATTTACAACCAAGCACGCTAAATTCACTATAATGATCACCTAGAATTAAAAGAATAGAGATGTTTATCCTCTTTTTGCAATGAGAACTTTTTAGTACCAATAAATTTGATATCACGAAAACGACCACCACATTTGTAACAAAACTCGGTTTTGCATCGTACGCAAACTAAAAAAATTAGAACTAAACATAACATCTGATGTTTTGATGCTAAACTTTGGCTTACTCATATGATCGCAACCCTTCGTACGTTGAATGTAGACCTATAAAAATAAAACAATAGAAAGTGTATTATTTTTTAACATCGAGCAAATCCTTACTTTGCATCTAGGACATGATACGGCATTGTGTTGACCATAGTGGACCTCTTTAGCCCATGTTTTTAACATGCGATCACCCCTTCGGAATTCTTTGCATGTAATACCGTCATGCCACGGTGCATGACCTGAAGAGAATAAAATCAATCAATCTAAATTTCAAAGAAAAAGATAAGTTGATTCTTACATTGAAAACACCAAATAAGATTGCATTCTGCACATTGTACTTTTGTTGGTGCTTTCCGAATGTGAAGGAATAAATTGCGATCTATTTCATGAACATTTGAACATCGTGGGCACGTTTTAACATTTATTTCACGATTAACGTCTGCAAGAAAATGAAAAAATTTCTCTCGTATTTCTGGTCGTAATCTTGTAATTATTTCGTCTCGATGTATGTATTGTTGACATAGCATATTTGGACATTGAATTTTAACAGTTCTTTGTCTTATTTGATGTTCAATATATTCATTCATGCAATAATTGCATACATGAAATTCACAACATGTTCGCAACTGTAAAAGTTTATTCTCGTAACAAATTGAACATTCAGACTGTAATTCGCGACCGATAGGGTATGTTAACGATTGAGTAATGGTTTTAATACGTTTTTGATTAACCAATGAAATAGTTCCATTTGTTGGAAATTCCGTTTGAATTTCGTCTTCTCTTTCATCACTTTCTTCCAGTGGATCTTCCTCATTGTCACTCTCACTCTGTTCAATCTCATCATCAATATTCTCATCGTCCGTATCTGTTTCCTCTCCGTATAATTTTGTTGCTAACCCATCGATATCTGACAATTTTCGTCGTTTCAATGGATTATTTTCTTGTTGATGAAGTTGATTTTTCTTCTTTTGTATTTCACGTAACATGCGCGCTCTCGAACCGGTTATAAAACTATTTCGATTTCGTTGTACAAATGCTGCATTATTCGTTGATGTTTTTTGCGACTCTGCTGATGATGTCGAAGAAAGTGGACGATGCATCGATGTATGAGAAGAATAAGATAATGGACGGTTAGAAACCGATGTGTTGGTTTGTCCACAATATCCGGATGCATTTGTTACGGTTTGTAAAGCTGTTCCGGTGCATGCGGCTGCCATTCCTGTTGGTTGCTGACGCGTACGAATATGAGTAGGTTTCTGTAATGGATAATTTAGATAACGTTCAAGTACTTGTCTTTGAGCTGTTGTTAATGGAAGATTGGCACGCAAATTTGGATGTCTTGCACCACGCTCTGAATGCCAACGTCGTTGTGTTGTTGAATTTTCTACTACTACACTATTTCCAGCATTATTATTTGTTTTTAGATTATTTTTCAAAAAGTTATCCAATATAGCAGTTGAACCGAGCATTAATTTTCTATTAATCGAATGGGTTTTTGATATAGCATCATTATTATCTAGAGAATGATCTGTGTTTGTAATCAATGTTTCGACAACATGTTCGAGTTTTGTATTATAATTATTTAACGATATTGAACATGAATGATTAATCGGATCCGTATGTTGACAAGCGTTATTCAATGATTGTATATCAATACTACGTAATGAAGCTGCTGTTAACGATGGTGGTGGGGTCGTGGCTATTGGTAATGGAATTATTTTCTTTTTCAGATAAGATATGTCAACATTCGATACAGAAGAACAATTTGTATTAACTGTATTTGTTATCGCTGAGGAAGATTTACGATCATCGTCAAATACATCCAAATTAAATAAAGAACAATGTTGCCATCGATGCTGGTGAGGAGAGGAATTTTTAATAGCCATTTTTTTTGTTTTATTTCAAATCTATATAAAAAATTTTAAAAAATAGCATTAGATTATTTCATCTGAAATTGATATTTAATGTAAATTATTTTCCTGTGGAAGTACGTTAAAATTCAGATATCTTATGAAATTATCCCAAGACTTGTGGCTTTTGTAGCTCTTATTATTTACATCAGAGATTTTGTTAGATGAGGATTTGTGTATCTTCCAGATACTGTAAGGCTTAAAGACATCCCATCCAACTCATTCTGAAGATTTTCATGCAAAAAAAATTATTATCTAAAACTTATATATCGGCTCCTACAACATTCTTCCTTACGAAGATAGTAGCTTTTCACCAATTGTGAAACATGTGAAAATAGATGCCCCGATATAAAAATATTATTTTCTAGTATCATCTCGTTAGAAGTTTGTTTAATTTTCGTTCCGTTAACTTCTGATTAAATGTCGAAACTTTATGAGGTCAGGTGACCATGAGAAATTCAGATTTTTAGAGAGAAAAAAAGAAGGCAAATTTGAGAAAGAAACGCATACCTCGTATTTTGAATAGAACATCCTTGTTTGGTTTCTGACCTTAAATTTATGTCATTGGATAGTTCGTACCAAGGCGATTCTAATACATTATCATTTTGTTTTGATAGAGATATTGCATTGTGAAAATTTAATTAAAAATGAAATTTCGGGAGAATAATTCTAAACCTTTTAGTCATTCCACAAGATCATTTCACATTTGTGCTACATAATTCCCGTAGTTTCATTATTTTACTCCTAGTCTTTCTATAGAAAATTGATGCGCCCTGAACCAATATCGATATGTGTTAATAACTTTAAGGTAATACTTATTGAGTCTATCCATGAAGCTTTTACTTAAATAGTGTTCATCTTATGCGACGTAAATATAGTATTATCCTGTGAAAGGTTTTATAATTACTGAAGGACACTAAAAAGATAGATAATGTAGCATTTTTAATGAGAATTAAAGTCATAACAAAATTTTATACTACTACTCTAAAATAAACAGTAGCTTCACTAAAAATTTTCTTCAAGTGGCTCTTGGGAACTAATATCTATCCAGCAATCTTCGAGAAGGAACCTGTTCAATTTTGATTCTTGCTGTAAACAGATGACAACATAGAAGTATATAGGTGGACTTATATGAGATAAATATATTGAGACAAGGATTAAAGCAAGTTTTTCTATTTCACAAAAAAATATTAATAGAATTTTATTCTAGAACAGCTCAGTTATGCTACACTTGTCTATATAGAAAACTCGACCCTCCGAAAACCCTTATTTGGGTCGATCGTATATGTACTACTTCATTTTCTACTTCACTTTTTGTCAAGTTCTTGTTTTTCTCTCGCTACCAAGTCATTTTAAATATTTGTAGGATTGAGTGTAGTCAATAGTTAACTTCTATTCTTGGTTGTGCCTTTTTTTATTGAAAACTGAACTGAACTGATTTTCTGAGTCATCATGGCGAAAACAAATAATTTGAATAAGCTTTAATTTAAAAGATCTTTATTAAAAATAGAAAATAAATGCATAAAACAAAATAATAGTGGAGTTAAAAGTTAAAAATACGCATTAGCACAGGACGACAGATGTCGTCCTTATACGAAAATAAAGTTTATTTACCCAAAACATAAAAATGAGTTTATCTGGAAAAAATAGAAAGAAAAACAAATATTTTTAATTAAAAAATTGATTTAGAATGAAAAACTCATACTTTAGTCAATAATCTTCACAGATATTTTTTGATTTTGTATTATAGGATCTGCGCAGAGTTGCCAGATGTATAGGTCAGAAAAGCGGAATAAAAAGATAAAAAAGTGGAATTTCTTTTTCAAAATGCGGAAAAAAAGTGGAAACGCATTTTTCACCAAACGCAAAGGGGTATCAAAAAAAAATTTTCTAGCGCTTTATGGCGGTTCCACTTAAGAAACACAAAAGAAGTACAAAACATCATTTAAATCTCAATTTCAATAGCTAGTGGCTTTTTGTGGATGCGCGTTTTGATCAACCGTCATAAATTTCAAACCTAAATACATAAAACTATAATAATTAACAAAAAGAAAAACCATAATTAAATAAACATTGGTAAGAGTTGTGTATAGCAGGATAAAATTTAATTCGAAACTTCCCTGTCTACAACAGCACTTAATGGTTAAGATTTTCTAACCGAGTTGCCTTCCTTCAAGATTTACTATTTCACTATTTTTCACACTCCCTTTCAGCAGCACTTGAGCCTCAACAGTAAGTTACTGTCTTTCTTTCTAATTTTTTTATGGGTGATATCAAATTCAGACGAGGGAAGGCCACCAACTGTCCCATCCCTTTTGAGACGAAACCTAGTGGATGACAGGTAATCGATCATGCTGAATGCGAATATCACAATGATTTTTCCCCAAAGATCTATGGAGCCCCTGGTTTTGGAAAACCAGTTTTTCATAACTCTAAAAAATAATCAAAACCTTTCTTAGTGAAGCATGATTGTAGCGCGCACATTTCTGATTAAAATGCGATATCTCCCAGCTCTACATGACCTTTCTTTGCCAAGTTATAGAATTTACACGAAAAGCCCTAAATGTTCATTGTCAGCTCAAAGCTACAGAAATAAGAAATTAATTTAGGGCTTTTCGTGTAAATTCTATAACTTGGCAAAGAAAGGTCGTGTAGAGCTGGGAGATATCTCATTTTAAGCAGAAACGTGCGCGCTACAATTAAGAAAGGTTTTGGTTATTTTTTAGAGTTTCTGAAAAACTAGTTTTCCAAAAACCGGGGGCTCCAGGGATCTTTGGGGAAAAACCATTGTGATATTCGCATTCAGCATGATCGATTACCTGACACCCACTAGGTTTCGTCTCAAAAGGGATGGGACAATTGGTGGCCTTTCCTCGTGAATTCAGAATATTCTTAATTACAATGTAGTGATAAACAACATGAATTACAATCATTAAGATCTTATAATACACAACAAATTGTCAACGAAATAAAAAAAATGTCAGTCAGATGTACAAGCAGAAAAAGATGAGACTGGATCACTGAGAAATAAACCTTTAGACAATAGGAATCTAGCAAATAAAATATCTTTTTTCACATAAGATATCCCATGTGCGGATATTTTTTCGTGTCAGCGCCGTCGATAGAAATAAAGCACATACCTGTGCGAAAAGAGTTATCTTCTTATTTGCTAGTTCCCTAATGTCAAATTTATTCTAGCCTGATAGTCAAATTCATTCTCAATGTAAAACTGGTATGTATTTTGATCTCCTTTACTCCTCTTTCCTTCTTTTTGGAATGGTTGTATCTGTACAATGGACATTCGTGATCATCCAAGTTTTGTTGTCCTTACTCGTGTGAATGGTTTGAACGTCTGTCGAAAAAAGAACATTGTATTCACATCATGACAGTTCGAAGACAAACACGCCTCGACCATCAAAACGCAATTTAATAAAATTACGAAAAGCCGCATGTGTAAATGATTCTTAACATTGTGAAATATAAAAGAGAAGAAACAAACGGCTTACAGCGAGAAAGGGAGGAGAGACAAAGAATTCACAAAATCGAACGTAAGTTTAGCCGAGCGCCTTTCGTATCCAAAATCGAAATATAGGCAGATCAAGATTTGCTCTCCATTTCTCTGCTCTGAAGGAAATAATTGGATCGAAGTTTTAAGTGGGTATTTTATGGATATACACGATACGATGGATACTTGTCTCTGCACTGCCACAAAAAGTCATGATCATACGAAGTCCGCATATAACAGTGAAAATGTCGCTTTTTGTAGTATCACGACGTGCCCACCCCATCGAAATTGACAGAAAATAACCAAAAAATGCCTTTGGAATCTTTCGTACATTGAACGGAATTTAATAATAAAATGTCGTGAACAGTTCGGACAGGAGATGACCTTGTATATGTTTAAAAGGGCTTCCATTGTAGAATAATGTACATATGTGAAAACAGTTCTTTTTCTTTTTGTCATTTGTTTCTTGATGATATGAGAGCCAATTGGAAGTTGGAGTAAACAAAAATAAAACTAGACTTTATTAAAGTCTTAACATGTATTTTGTAGGTCTCTTATATTTTCTAATAGAGGTGGAATCGATTCGGTCTCAAGGAAAGTTTTTGGTTCGGTTTATACTTTTTAAAAAATGGAGCGATTCGGTTCAATTTTAAAATTTTTTTGATTAGCTTTTGCAAAAATAGAAAACGATTCCACCTTTCTTCTCTAATTTGCTCATTATTTAAACCTGCTATCGCCTCTAATTATCCTTTATTCTTTCTTAATGTGAACGGGTGCTCTTTGAAATAGTACCTCTCGCTGTATCTTATTTCTTTAGTAAATCTTCACAAAATATCTTATGTTAAAAAAAGATCATTTGGTCAATAATCCACTCTTATCTCTTCCTCACTTATTAGTTTAAAGTCATTTTTTTTGTGAAAATTTCATCAGTAAGATATAACGCATGAAAATTGAAAAAAAACATCTACAGTTGGCTGATGAATTCAATTTGTTTGTTCTATTTGTGTATTTTTCGCAACAAAGTAATAAAAGAGAAACAAAAGAAAAAAAACGCACACATTATAGTAACAAAATAATACAGAATAAAAAGAAACAAACAAAAAAAAAACGAATCTCACGCACACATAAAATATTCGTGTTTAAAGTGTTATATAAATGAATGATGTCAAAAGAGCGCTCCCTGCTTTGCAGAATAAAACTAAAAACTTATTTTACGGATAGGATGATTTGATCGTAGAATAGTAATATCTCAATTATCTATTGCGCTGTAAAAGACAAAGAAGAAAAAGAAGAATACAAAAACACTTATGACAGCACCTATAAACATCGCATTTTTAAAAATAAGTTATTGATGCTGGTTTATTCATTCGGTTTGTTTTTGAAAAAACAATAAAGAATTGAAAAATACAATATGGAGGATAGGAAACCAAAGAATGTCATGAATCATAAATGTGAAATCGATCAGAATACGCCCTCTTGACTTTGTAAATAAAAGAATGGGAAAACGGAAAAAAATTATCTTAAAGATAAGTATAGATGTTAAAAATCGATTCACGCCACATAACTGTATTCATCGGTTGAAGGTCGTTCAAGATATTGTTTATCAATCAATATTTCAATACATTTTTTGATTAATTGAATTGATGGCATAAAACGTTGTTTGGATTGGGTAATTACCTGAAAAAATGAAATATTAGATAATAATCTGTCTATTTGTTAGAAAAAATATGCAGAAAAATTGTACCTCTTCTATTAATGAATTATGTTTAAGTGTTTTTCGTGCTTTCATAATTCGCACTATAACAGCTTGAAGATAAAATTTTCGATCTTCATCAGCTGCTTGTTGTGCAGCTTCTGCTTCCTAAAATATTTACAAATCAAAATTGATGTGTGTGTGTATAGGTGTATTAAAAAGAAGAAGAAAAACATACTTGTGTGGTATCTTTTTGTCCGACAGATGATATTTTAAATTTTGTTCGTTTACTTTTGTAATCAAAATTAATTTCAATTAGAGAAGTTGATTTTAAATCAGTCTTTAAAAGAATAACAGACATTTTTCTTTATTGTTGTGCAAATTAATTAGTTAAACTTACCATATCTCCTAATAAAAATTTTGCTTCAATTAATGATTGTATTTGTTTTTCTAATTCTTTTGTATGTAGTTTAGTTGCTTCTTCTAATTCTCCAACTGTCAGTTGTCGAACTTCATTAAAACACAATAATACAGACATTTGATATGTGCTCATTGTTACAAAATATGGACGATCAAGTTGACTCATTCGAACTTCAGCTAGAAAAAAGATGTCAAGTCAATAAAAGACGTATTAGAAGAATAGAAGAAAACAGTTTTTAAAGGCTATCACTTCTGATCTTACACTTTTAGAAATGCGAATATAATTCAATTCGATTTCACGATTAAGGGATGGGACTTCTTTCCTCAATCGAAGCTTATATATTTGTCAAAATTATTTTTAGTACTTTTTGACGAATTTCTCATATGTTAGAAATGTGACATTAATTAACCACTACAGAAGGTATATTTTATTTGCTTCTAAGTCAGAAAATAGCTAACATAATAATGGAATAATTAAATGTTTGATTACGCCTTTTAGCTAAATCATTTAAAAGAAATTATCAAACGCTGATTTATAGCATAAAGTCTATGTATAAATTATTTTTGGCAGAAAATATGTTTATTTTCTGTATTTCTTTTCTTCACAAAAACTTATTTTGCATACTTATTGTATAGTAGATCAAGTATTAGCTTTATAGTATCTTATTTCGTTCACAGTTTTTATAAAGAATATTCAAAGATAATTTCAACGTGTTCGTGTAAAAACTATTCTGCAAGAACATGATTTAAGCCTTGTCAACACATTCATTTGTTTTTGAATTGTAACTGAATTGACGTACAAAAATGAACTGTCTCACAAAATTTAGCTTCTTTGTCACTAAAAAAATCCCTAGGAATGACGCATTTCTGTCTTAGAAATCGAGCTATCTATTAAAACAATAAAACACATTATATATATATAATACCATTTGAAAGATTATGCATCCAACACAGTTTTCTTCCGTTATATTGTTTACCATAAAATTCTTCAAACTAAAAAACAAGTCTAACAGTTAGATTGAATAATTTGAAGAAAAAAAAACAAAGAATAAAAACGAACCATATGCAATGGTTTTTCTAATTGTTGAGGTATAGAAAACGTATTTGTACTTGATTGTGATATTGGCCATGAATTTGCCTATGAAAAATAATCATATATTATTACAACATGATACATGTGATTAACATGACGGTTAACTTACTTGTAAAACATAGATACTAAAATCAATGCCAATTAAATTTGACAATGTGGTTGTGGAAGACGATTGTAATTGCTGTTGTTTTTCAGCAGACACCGTTGGTTTTAAATAATCCAAAAATTTTGCATTCAAATCATCGCTGACCTTAATATCTTGAAACATACGTGCTAATTTACCGGTAAATTCATAACCGCACGTTTGCTGAAGAAAAAAAAACGAAATATTTTGTAACTTTCTTTGTTTCCGATAGAAAATATATAGTTCTATCTACTTTTAGTTTTGTGACCATAAATTCTTCAGCATCCATGGATGTTGATTGATTATTAATCAGACGACGAGCAAGCATTTTTTGATAAAACTAAAAAAAAGAAAAAGAAATATACAAATTATTTAATATATTTTCTAAAAATACTATTTACTCTTTGAAAATAATCTTTATCATCTAGATATTTAAATATTGTTATAGAAGCTAATAATTTATCTTCAATTTCTTGTTCTGTAACTGATTTAGATGATTTACGTAATAAATTATCACAATAACGAGCTAATAGTTCCGGTGCTTTTGTGATTTGTTTTGAATCACGTTTCATATTCACAATATTTGCACAGGCTTTATCAAGAGCTAAAAAAAACAAAACATTTGATAAATATGATAATTGTATATAAACAAGATGATCTATCTCACCGCTAACAAACTCTTGATCATTTGAAAACACGTCACGTATAACATTCATATATTTATTGTGTAATTCAAGTAATGCTTCGACAAATAATGTTGGTAACTAATTAAATAAAATTAAAAAATATTATCCATTATTTTTAAAGAAAATAAACTTACATTTTCTCCTTTAAGTGATTGAATTTTTTCATTTCCAATACGTGTTATATTTTCTTGTAAACGTTCAACCATATATTGAATACCCGTTTGAATAGGTTTAAATAATTTATACATATTTTGTAATGCTTCTAAATCTTCTTCAATAATTAATTTATTACATTCATTTTTCAATGTTTCCATATGTACAGTAATTAAATATTGATGACATTCATTATAGACTTTTGTAAAAGATGTTGGATTTAAAAATTTTCGACTACGAAATTCTTCATCATCTAATAATAATAGCACCTAAACATAAATATTAGATAATAATAGAAAGAAAATTAATAAATAGATTTTTTAATTAAAATGTACCTTCTTCATATACTGAATACAATTTAGAACGGATAATAAACGATTTCCTTCTTGTCTATAATATTCACCGGTTGCTTGTAATAACTGTGTTTCAAATGATTTTTCATATAACTATGAAAATAAAAACTTCTTATAATCGAAAATAAAAAATTGTATTTGATCATTTACTTCTAATGATAATATTTTTCGATGTTGACAAACATCAACAAATGACATAATTACTCCTTTAATTGTTGCTTGATTTACAGGTTCATTTATTCGATCTCTAAATTAGATAAAATATAATACAAAAAATATTAATTAATATATTTTAAAAATCATCATTATTAATATACCTATGAATTTGTTCAAGTAGTAGATTAACTAAATGATCCTTTAATGGTTCAATAATAATCTTTGTCCAACAATCAAGTGCCATTTCTCCAATTTCAAATAATGGTTGCTCATTTGACTCTAAATTACAATCAAGTAACTGATCATGATCATTTACTTGACGTTTTTTCACAAATTGTGTATTCAAATATCTAAAATATTAAAAATTAAAGAATATAATAAATAATTTTGTACAAATTATACACTTACCCATAGAGAAGATTGAGATATTGTGCTCCATTACTATATTCAGTCCAATATTTGACATAAACTGTTAACATATCTTGATCAGCATCAGAAATATCCTACAAAGAAAATAATAAACATAAAAAAAAAATCAATATAAATGACTTTTTACTTTTTTCATTGATGATGTATGATCTTCAAGAAATTGTTTGGTCTCTTCATAGAGACGTTCAGCATGGCTATTCGGTGTGGCAACGCATAACTCATAAATATCTGTAAATAGGCAGTTAAGATCAAAAAGAACAAACAAATATTTCATATATAAAATAAAATAATAAAAATTAAAACAAAAAAAAAGGATATGAAAAACGTGTTTGCCATGTTTGTTTATTGATTACTCCGGAACGACTTAAACTAATTACACAACGTATTGTATCAAGAACAGTTGGCCATCGATCATTAAAATCAATTACCTACAGATAGAGAAAAAAATATATTTTTAAAAATAAAAATAATAAAAAATCAAATATTCTTGATGTTGAACAATAACTTACTTTTGGTTTCAACATATTTGTTCAAGTATTTTGTCTAATATATTTCTAGTAAGAATATAATGAATTTTCATGAATTAATTAACCTTGATAAACAAAATAATTTTTTACACTAAATATAATTTTATTGAACTACCCTATTGGGAAGACGATTTTTTCAATTCAACAATAACGTTTGTTTATTCTATTCAATATCATTTATTTTGAGCTTTGATCATCAGTTTTACGTTTTCTTTTTCTTTTTGACATACTTAATCAAGCATGACGAAATGTTACATTATAATCTTTCTTTCTTTTTCTTTTTCCTTCTATTCTTACAGAAAATAATACAAATTTTTGGCGTAACAAATTTTATATCAATAGGATCCCGTCTCTACACGTGAGATTCATTGTTATTCAATAATAGTCGAAATTTAATACGTTGAATTATTATACGTTTTTTTTTTAAAAGTAAATTACATTTAATTTACAAACAAATTAGTCTAATTTTATTTTAACTAAGTAAAAATAAGATTTATCAATGGAATTCACTTTAGAGAGAGAGTTCCTATTTAATTCTAGTTAGTCTAACAGATGAATGAAATAAAATGCAGGTACGACTAGCTTTTTTTCTCAATTTATGCATGGTAACCATAACTAAAATGAGTCACTGCTATTTACCAGTTTAATTAGATTCTACATTGTTATTGTCTGCATGAAGTGTATGTTTGTGTTTGTCTGGACTTGGTTGATTTATTTTTATTTTTTTTTGTAATATAAAATTTGAAACAAAATGATGATTTTTTATCTAGAATAGAGCAGTTATAGGAGAAGAAAAAAAAATGAATATTTGATGTCTCTTCTATTATCCTTCACATAGTATTGAGAGTATAGTATTTGGTTAAACATAAGATAAAATCGCTGTATTTATTAAAAGATAAATTGATACTGTTTTATGGAGAATAAATATAAATAAAAACTACATTTTGGAAATAATCATGCATAGTAAATAAAAAAACAACAGTTGTTATAATCGATTCGATGAGATCCAATGTAGTAATATATGAAGAAAAAAACAAAACAATATCACGTGAAGTGGAGAAGGAAGAACTTGAGATAAGTTGGTGAACAACAGTTCATATATATATATATATATATAAAAATAAAAATATATTATGATGGTTGTCTTCGAAGACAAAATAAAGAAATAATAAATAAAATAGCTGTGCAATGTGTGCAACAACGCTCACAAAACTTTCTTGGACAGATAAAAATATTATCAGTGTAAAAACGAATGGAAAAAACGTATTATACATAAAGTGGGCAAAAAAAAAAAAAGCGATAACAATAGCAACAACAATAACAATCATTATATTTTGAAACAATCAAAAAAAATACTGATTCAAACATTCTTGACATTTGAGCAAAATTTTATCAAAATTACAAACGGCACCAAAATAAATCAAGCGCACAAATCCTTAATAATAGAAAATTTGTCATAAAAAAACCTCTCATTTGTTTTCTTCTAACTAAACTTTAAAATGTATTTATTATACAATTCTTTCGATAAATTATGATCTATTATAATTTTTGTCTCTAAATATTATCACTATTTTTAAGTACTAAAAAACAGGAATAAAAAATTAAATAACTATTATCTTTGTTGGAAATAATAAAGAAAAGGAATATATGTGAAATGAAAAAAATGTGTTTAACGTGATTATAAAAGAAATAAAATTCATGTTATTTCATTGTTTCTAGTGTACCAATGGTTCAAAAACAAACATAACATTTTTATATTCTTCTTTTAATTGATTTTGTTCTGATAATTGATTGAATAAACCTATAAGATTAATTTGTCTGAGATTTTTACATGAATCTAATATTATTTTAATTCCATTATATGTACATTTAGTTGAATTTAATGATAATATTTCTAAATAATTTAAATTATTTTCACTTTGATTTATCCATGAACGAATATATTCATCACTAACACATGTAAATGACAAATTCATTGAGCGTAAATTTAAACATTGTTGAATTAGAAATAAATAGGCAATATTTTGTTGTATATTTACACAATTTTCAAGACTAATCAATTCTAATGTTAATTGTAAATTATTTCCTATTGTGTACAATGTTTGATCCGTTAAATTAATACAACTATCTAAATAAAGTTGTTTTAAAGATTTACAATTTATAGTGAGTTTCAATATATCATTGTCTGTTAATGATAATAATTGACTCATATCTAAATATTCTAAATTTGACCAATATTGAAAACAATTTAAGTTATCATTATCAAATTGATATTCTAATCCGATACATTGTCGTATATTTAAATGCTTTAATGATTTAAGATGTTCACTAATTACTGTTAAACTTGACCAGGTTATATTTACACAAAAAGCTAACTTTAAAATGATCAAATGTAATGAAAGAATTGAAGGATTATTATCATGAAAAAATAATTGAGTTATAATTGAATCGGTTAATGTTTGACAACCACTTAAATCAAGTGAAGATAATTGATGATGGGATAATAGAGTAAATGTAACTGGTGTGAGATTATTCCAGCTAATATTTAATGTTTTTATACTGTTGCATTTATCGAATATAATTGGTAATAGAAAATTAGGTGTAAATGGTTCATAATAACAATTGGTTATTGTCATGTCGGTCAAATTTGTACGAATATTATTGAAAAATTCATTCCATTCAGCAATATTCATATGATTTGACAATTTAAAATCATTATTAATTTGACTAAAATGAAGAGAAAAATGCTACCTTCTTAGACTTTAATTTATAGTTCATACAAAACTACATCAAATGTTATTAAGGGATGGACGAAAATTTTAAGTAATAGAAAAAAGATTTATTTACCTGTCTAATGTTGGTTTTTTGTCTTGTTCAAGATTTTGTTGTCCACATTCAATAAATGCCAATGCTATCGGTTTTCGTCTAGCAATAGTATGTAGCCATTGTTGTTCAATTATTGGTTTTCGATAGAGTATCGTACGATGTTGACATGCTTGATCTTGAACTAATAAATAAAATCTCTTACATGCTTGAGAAAAATTGTACAATTCATTTTGATTTAAATACGATAATATTTTGAACCATAATTTGGCCGACAATCGATACCATAAACATAGACGATTATGAGCCAGTGTTGTATGTTGTTGTATATTTGAAGTAGTTATAATGGGAAATGATGGCATCGACATTAACGAAATATCCATAGTATCAAAACTATTTTCGTTGTCGTTGTTATTGTTGATCGTATCATCACTCTTATATAAAACAGTCGGAAGAGTTAGTAATGCCGTTGCAGCTGAAAGAATTTCATTAACACATTCTTGTTTTATGAGTACCTCATCGTCCAATGTATCAAAATTGAGTAATTCAATGTTTGCTGGTGGTGGTACACTATTATTATCGTTCAGTCTATCATCTTCATCCTGTTGATGTAATAATAAATGAGCTTCTCTTTGTTCACGTCTTTGTTGTTGTTTTGCTTGGTGTGCTTTTTGTAACAAAGCTATTTCATTTTCTAAGTCTTTTGCGTACACAATCGGTACCAATTGAGATTCGCATATATCTGATGCCGTTTCTAATTCATCTAATTCAAGTAATGGTATATCAATAATGTCATGGTGCTGTTGTTCAAACGGTGCATAGTCATAGGTATTATCCATCGCACTGTCAACGTCATCATTCATGACACCAATCAATTCACTTTGATTTGATCGATCATTATCCAACGTAGATGGCATAGATAAATTCATATTAGACAAATAATCTTCGCTTAGAACATCAACATTTTCATCCTTGCAATTGTTGTTAATATAATTCAAAACATTTTGCGGTTGATCTTCGTCTTTTTTTACACTAATATTATTCGTATCGCGTTTTAATTTTGGACAAATTCTTTGAACAGTAGCAATATTCACTTGATGTGTTGTTGTTATTGGAGCTAAACGTGCATACTTTGAAAGAAATTTTCTCGTTGTTGTTGATGTCGACTTTGTGAGATCATTCATTGTTGAATTGTTCAAATCTAGTGTTGTTTTAATGACCACTAATTCCGATTGTTCACTACCTACAACAAAGTAAAACACAGACACACAATAGATAGCTTATATAAATGTGGACAAAACAGACTTCAAGATAAAATTAAAATAGTCTTTACATCAAAAGATCACAAAATTGAGCAACAATTACCAGTTATATTTAATAATTGTGATCGTTCGTGCTGTTGTTGAGTATTTAGTGAGAAGAATTGATCAAGAAGTAACGTTGTTGCTGATGAACTTTGAAGTAAATCATCAGTCCTCTCATCGTTTGATTCAGATGATGTTTGGTGATAGTAGTTTATTTTTCTTGAATGTGCATCAGTTAACTTCGGTAATGATCGTGGTAGGGTTCGTTTTGTTTGATTACGTGTGGAATATCTTGACGTTGGTGGCGACGCTGAAGTGTTTGTGGCTGTTGCTATTATGTCACGTGTAGGTGATGATAATGATTGTTTACGATTTGACGGATATGCAGCAGCACGTAATTCTCGACTTAGAGCAGCGATAGAATCGTCCTCTTCATTATCAGCTGTATTAACGGCAAATGACGAAGACTTAAATTTCAACGGCTCAAGTGGAAGATTAGGATTGGAGATTGATGATGATTGTTGTTGTTGTAAATTTGATTCGGTTGAATTATTAGTCTCATGATAGTGATTAGGCGGTAACGGTTGACAATTGTGAACAGGAGGTGCTGATGAAATATTATTGTCAAGAATCCGTGTAGATTGAGTGGGAGGTGGTACAGGGCTGTCACTAGAAAATGGACGCCGTGAGCCATCATTATTATATTGAAATTTATGTTTGTTATTATAGAGAGATGTTGAATTGAGAAGTCTGTTGTTGAATGATAATCGACGTTGGTGGAAACTATCGAACGGAAATTCTTCTTCATCCAATAATGATGATTTTTGATGCTGAAGAGTGTTTACCCGTGTTAACGGAGTACGACCCTGACGATAGTTCGGTAATTTGAGTGACTTGTTTCGATTATTATCTTTTAATATATTGTAACCAGATGAGAGTTCAACGTGACGAGAAAATTTTTTGGTATCAGGTGATGTATGAGTCAAATAAGAGTCAACGTTTGAAGATGTAGATGATGGTGTTAATAAAGGACGGCGATGATAATAATTAAAATTATCATTTAATAGAGGTTCCGGTGTCGCTACATAATCTGCTTCATCAAAGTTTTCCGTTAGATGTACAGTATTATCAGAATGTGCATGTTTTGTCGGCGGTGATGACGACCGTGTATAATGAATCGAATCACGTAAACGATTACTGAGAAATTTGCCGATTGATGATGATGATGCTGCTGATGACACTGGCATAATCTCATTTCGGGATGAATAATGATTTGTTGGTTGAATCAAATCGGCTTTACCAAATGAACGATGTCTCTTCTTAATCATGATTTTATTATTCGTCTCATGAAATGTGCAATTATTTTTCGTGAATTGGATTCACACAATCGCTGACTTCTGCATTATGTTGTTATCTTTCTCAGTCAGCATCGCAGTGCCCGTTCTAATGCATCTCAGGTGCATATCTAAAAAGAATATAGGGTAATATTGTGCAATGCGATAAAAATAAAAGGCGTTTATACAAGCGACAAGATATAAAGAATAATATCTTTTTTTCATTGATGACTTTTAAGCACAATACCTATCACGAGCAGCCCCTAACTTCAAATTATTAGCATTTCTGTATCTATTAAGTTCGTAACAGCAGTGTCCCGGAAAAGCACGATAAAACTATGCTGACGGCATAGAAGAAATGTGCTGATAGGACAGTAAAAATTAACTGCTATGCTTCAACCGTGCAATTGACACACTTTGACCGTACCGTCAGTACATTCGTTCGGTGCCGTTAGGAGAGATCTGCTGTTGGAACATTTTTACCGTGTCGTTCGTGACACGTTTTGTGTGTGATAAAAGCACAGTTTACTCTCACGACTTTTAAAGCGTGCTTACAATATGAAAATAGCACATTAAAAGTGTGCTACAAGTCACTCAGTCTGTAATATGTATCAGAGATGGGCGAGTACACCGTTTCTCGAGTGCGAGTACGCAGTATTGTAGGCCAGGTACGACTACAACAAAAATTTTATTCGTGTAATAATTGGGTATCAGATATATTTGAAAAAAGAAAAATCATTTTACTTAACAGAAATAGGGAGTTTTGTGAGATTTGAACAAATGTTCCTAACACTTTCTTTTCTTTTATACCATGAAGTTTTAAAAATCCTATACTTTTTAGAAAATATATTAGGATTTTCATGAACATTTTAAAATCAAATACCCGAGTATTTCTTGAAATATTTCAAAAATAAATCTATAAATTATGAACTTGATTCACTTAGTGTTGATGATGATTTACGTGCGTTTCAGATTGTTAAAACAAACCGAATCAGTTCTTGTTTATTAGACCATTTAGAATATACGTGGTAAATCAAAACTATATCAACTACTAACTTTATATGAGTTCTACTCCATCTTTACGGACTCATCTTTTCCAAAATCCCGCAAATAAACGGTTATTTGTCAGGTAGTTGTCTAAACTTATACCTAAGGGTGACTGAACTGTACTAATAAAGGTGCGTTTGTGCCAATTGTAGTGTCCATGCTTTTTACTAGTAACACGCTTTTAATGTACTAACCATACTCTTTAAGTGTACCAGTGGCACGCCTTTAGTGTACCGATGGTACATTTCAAGTATGCCATTGGTCCTAAGTGTACCCGTAGAACATGTTTTGGTAAAACGTGGAAGCGAATCACAAACAAAAAACACTGTTAAAGTGTCTTTTTTTTGTTACTTGAACGTGCCAAAAGCACGGAAAATGCGTGCTGTTTCTTTCGCATTGAAGATTTAAGGTTTCACTTCTAATGGCACGTTTTTTCTATGCTATCTGAACATTTCTATCGTGTTTTTCGTGACAGTGTGCTCTGTCGTTCTCTCTATTTCACCACTTAGATAGAACTCATTTTCAATATTGTTAGATCAAACTCTTGTCTCGAATTTAAGATTAAGATTTTGAACAAACAACCCAGGAGATGGAGGAACATTCTCATTTTTCAGAAGTTCCTCTTATGTACGAGAAGGAGATCAGTTCAGGCTAGCAACGAGTTGCTGTTGTTATATAGAAAGAATTGAACTAATAAAATTGGCCAAAACTGACCAATGATATTTTTAGTGATTAAGGAAGGAGGCTGAGAAAAGTGAATTAAAAAATGGAGCCTTAAACAATAACCATCACTACAGTAAAATGAGTCATTCTGTCTTCCAGACATTTAAACAGTGGATTATTGTATTAATATTGTTAATCACTTAAGCTGCAACTTAATCCTAGACCTGGTTCGCAATGTATTTTAGAGTAAAAAAAACTGCTTTAGTTGATAATAATAAAATGACACACACGTGTATATGAAACACGAACTCGTACGAATAGAATATTGTAAAATAAACAAAAACTGTTTCGCTCGCTACCTCTATTGCAAACAAGAGGAAAAAAGCAGCACTAAATCAGTAGTTTTGGGCGCTGAAAGGTGCTATACCAAAAAAAAGTGCTTCGCCCCCAGTCACAAATACTTTCTTCGTTGTTGAAGATCTGGCAAACTCATAGTGTCTATCGGATTTTGCACGTTCCTGTCAAATTTTTGTGGGACGATCCTTGCTGCAAGCCACTGATGAGCTTGAGATGTGTGTGAAATCCATCATTGTACGCTACGGAGCTGTAGCCAAGTGCGGGAAAGCTACTTGTTTCGTACAGACGATCACATAGAAATATTGAGAAGTACCGAACGATCGATTAATAGAGCCCAGACGTTTTCGGCATTTCTTAACGATAATATCGATATGGTTTGACTACCGCAGACTAGCGCATAATCTTACTCTGGGCGGCTTGATATTTTCCACTCTCCTCATGGTTTTGTTGTTAATTTTAACGTCACAATCATGAAGATGAGAATGCAAACCATTCACATTTGTTCACACTCAATTCTATGTAATTTTTATTACACCACTCGCTAAACTGTTTGTTGGACTAGTATTATACTTTCATCGTTTTCAATTGATACCACTGCAAACATGTTGTCGCACATAGAGATTGAACGACATTGGCAGGTAGACATTTAGAGAAATCGTTGAGGGTGAGGGAAATATTAATAGAATAAGATTCAGAATGGATCGTTGTAGTACTCCCGAATAAACAGGTTTTGTGTTAGATACAGATTGATCAACTACAAAGTATTACCATCTGTTAGATAGATATGGCTATGAACAAATCACTGAGACTGTCAGTAGTCCCCACATTTACTACTTTATCAAGTAAGCTGTTATGGGGCACTTTATTGAACGCTATACATAAGTCAAACGCCAGACCAACACTACCTTTGTTTAAGCATTCACGTGTCTATAAAGATACTATATTACAGATAAAAGTGTGTCAACTGTTTATGACTTTCTCCCGAAACCAATTCATGCGGACTAATTATTTTATGGTGTTCTAGATATGTAATCACACTCTCATAAATTACTCTTTCGAAGACTTTACTGGTATTTGAGATTATTGACCGATGATTTCTAATCACATTCTTGCCGTCAGATTTATATGTGGATAGAAGTCGACGAAGTTTTCAACAAGACGGAAAGATGCCTGATCTTAATGGCAATTTGATTAATAAAAATAAGTGTTGACTAATATTGCACACACACATTTTTAAAAAGACAACACTAATTCGTCGTACCCACATCCTTTTGTTGCTTTCAAATTGGTTATTATTTTATAAATTGCTGATTCATCAAAATCAGTGTCATTTAATGAGAAGAGTAGCGGATTGATTTTGATGTTTATTATACGAAATACTTGAACCTTGCAGTAGAGTGAATGTACTGATAAAGAAATCAATAAACATTTCGGCTTGGTCTTTATCGTTTATAAATGTTTTTGTTTCGTCTGTCATCGATAACGATAACAAAGCCTCGTTACCATTACATTCTTTCACCGAAGTCCAGAACTTCGTAGAATTTTTGAATGCATCATTCAGTTTTCTTAATGCTGCTGTTCTAGAATTTCTTATGGTTGTCACCACTTTGTTACGTAAATGATGAAATATTAATTTTAATTTATTGTTGTTCTGGTCCAACCGATGTCTCCTGAACGGGTCATTTCGTTCCTTTATTAAACCTAGCAAACATATTGACTGTTGATAAAGTTGAATCAGTTTTTATTTACTAATTTGAAGGAGCACACATTCATGAATACAGTTTGTCGTATATTCAATCCATTTCCCTACTTTTCCGTGAATATTCACAATATTATGAATATCTAACGATGTTTATGCTATCCATAATCGTAGGTACCAATATCAGTATGTGCATAATCATAAACTTTATTCGACAGATCAAGTTTAGCGTCTTACATGTCGGACACACAATTAAATACATAATGCACCGATTGTCCAATAAGTGGATGAACAGTTTGACTCACTGGTGTATACCATACAGTGGTATACTTTAATATTGTTTTTCGTTGTAGATTTTGTAAATGTTTCGTTGAGTAAGAATGCTGCTGCACAAAGCTTCCTGAATTTGAGTATTGCATTGCATTCTTAATCAGATCTGTATTATAATCAGCGCACAGAATTAGTTATTTTGATAGAATTGAATTCACTTACTACAATAAGAAAGCTTTAAAGTCATCGAAGTATTGTTTACTTTTATCGGCTGAACGAGATTTTGTCATTGGAGAACGATATACGTTACAAACGACAAGATTGATACAATCAATCGTTATGAGTAATATATAGACCTTGAGTTCCTTTGATTGTAATGGGAATCAATGTGGCATATTACAGTGAACGTATGTGATGATACTCATAACTATCTTGTCGATCTACTCGATAAACTGAATAATTAGGTAACAATATTCGCGAGTAGTGTGTTCACCGTATGGTAACGCCTCTTGTAAACAAATAATGCATGGTTCATATTTATCAACTACTGCTATATGAGTAGACAGGCCTTGTATGTTGTAGCAGAGAAAAGAAAGGTGTTTGGACAATGATATTTGGTACTAAGTGAAGTAGTAATAGCTTTATCTAATCAAGAAGCCGCTAATTTTTGCGTAAGTAATTTAAGTATTTTTGCTCTCATCGTCAGTAACAATTAGATTCCGTGGTGCACCAGCTGAATGTTTATCAAATCGATGTGCAGAAATTACTGTTGTTTTGAGCCTTACGAGAGAACATTCCCAGGTGCCCCGCTCCGATTTCGCTCGTTCATACATCATTCGATAGGGGGTCTCGAGTAGATAAAAAGCCTAAAAGGCCGGTTCTAAAAAGCCGGTTTTCTGGAAAACCAGTTTTTCAGAAACTCTAACAGAATAACCGAAACCTTTGTTAATGAGACATG